CATTGAGAATCGTATTTATAGATAGGGGCCAATAATTAATTCTGTTATTGGTTAACAGATATGTTTGAGCAAACGGTTGTTTGGAAGATTGCACTTTTCACAATCCCAACATAAGAAAGAGGTGTTTAAATCAGAAATGACAAACATATCGTCCCGATACAAATCTCTGCTGTGTCGTTCTCTTCAATGATCCAAGTTTAGGCTTAGTTAAAAGACTTCGACAATGGAATCTGGCGTGGTAATCCTATAGAAAACAGCACCATTTTGTGGGCACAAGTTTTGATATGACTTTCGATCATTTTTCGAGCATACTTCAGTATCAATTCTCCTTGGGTGGCAGCAGTGGTCAATCAGTTATTATGGAAACGTAATAAGATGGTACGTACGAAGAAATGCAAATAGCGCTTATAGAATCTACGACGGATACACAAGTAACAATACGAAACCAACGCGAACGGTAGGACGAAACAGCTCAGTGTAAGAGCGGCGGCTAACAATAAATACCGATCCTGTTAACCTAGTCTGGTCTGGGGAGAAAAACAGCTTTGGGCGGCAGAAATAATATTGAGCGTGTTTTCGTTGTAGACTCCCATAACAGATCCAATCATTTCGGGGAGAATGATCATATTCCGCAGATGAGTTTCCTTCAAAGACCGCGCTTTCTGATGCAGGCAGTTCTGCTATTTGCTCCATATCCATGTCAAGTAACTGGTCAAGATCGACTTCACGATAAAATTACTTCTTGAAACGCCTGCGCTTCGTAACTTCTTCTTCGGGCATGTTGAGGATAAACTAGGCGTAAACACCAAGGTGCGCTGAGACCTAACAATACATAATATAATAATATAACATATATTTATAAATGGCAGTAAAGGAGGATTTGGTTCGATCGTATGGTGAATTTCGTCGTGTAAAGAGCAAGTGAAGCTTAAGTACAAAGCTATGGAGGCACCGGACACCTGTTTTGATCTGGTTGGGTCCCATTAGAAGTGCGAATCGATCGTCTCAAATGAGATTCGAACCCGCGAACCTCAGGTAAAATGTACACCAACTACCCACTCGGTCACCAAACAGCTATTCAGTCCGCTTTCGGTTTTCTTTATACACGATACACCACAACCCATCTTTGTGAGCTTGATGCAGGAACGAACCATGCGCATTGTAGTACTAGCCTTAATTGGAAACACTCCAACCTGATTAAACATAAAATGAAGGTATTGAAAGATTGGGTTTAATCAGTTGGAGAATTTCGTCATGTACAAAGCAAACTCATCACATTTTCAAACACCCCTACGATATATAACCGTTGATAAACAAACAACGAAAAAGATAAATCTCTGCGCACATGTGGAGAGCTCAAAGCATTCACGAATGAGATTCGATCAGACAGGCCACGAGTAGTTGCTTGACCACAACAGTTAGAAAACGGATGTTGTTTGTGTGAATCTTACACCTCTGCTGACGCACGAACGTGTGACCATACAACGAGGCACGTTCAAGAGTCAGAATTTTAGGTCGTACTCGGGGATGCATGTCAGAGTTATTGTGAACTGTACTTTCAGATGAGTGGTCCATTCGAAACCAGCTGTGACCTGACGGACGAAACAAATCATGTCTCTGACCATTTAATATTAAAAAGCGACCTGATGATGGAGGCGTCAGAAATCTACATCCTACACCTACTCCTGTTTACGAAAACGTACCACTGCTTCATTTGTTACAAACGCATTTAGCTGAAGCAAACAAGGAACAGATGATGATTCATGAAAAATGACAACAATAAATTAATCCGTTAGAAAATATTGCAAAAACCGAGCTTTCGACGACCAGTCCATTCACGGCAGCACGAAAGGTAACAAATGTATTCATCACACACACACAGACACACACACACTACACACCAAACGTGACCGAAATGGATGATGACTTAGCCACCTATAAGCACATGACTTCAGACCGACTAACCATTAGGTCAAGGATAAATCAATTGGTTCGTAAAGGTTTCGATGGGGAATAAGACATACTAACCACATATGTTTCATATACGTCTGAGCACGCGATGGAGCATGAGTCCAGAATGCGTGTAAAACAAATCACAGTACAATAATTTTTATGAAAAGGTTACAGAATTTGATCGAGTGCTCGAAGACACGATATCGTCAGGTTGTCCAGTTCAAAGATGGGGAATTTTCATGGGGAGTTCACAACCTGAGCTTGCCTAACCAAAACCTTCGTCGTCAAACAACGAGGTGGTGTGTGAAAACCGCAACCCATTGAGGGCCGGTGTCCAGTTCATCGAATTGCCCGCACTTCGGACAGGGTTAGACGTCCAGAGTACCCTTTATACTTCAATACCTAATCGAGCTGGTGACCACTGCCACAACCAAGGTGTGGGAGTATGTGGTTCGTGCACCTCCTCCTGGTTGGTTTGGAATCACGTTTTTGGTCAACTTCCCTAGGTAAACTACCAGAGACTCATCGACCTGGCTACGGCCCTGGAAGTTGGCTTTTCGTCCTCCCACTTTGGTCGGGTAAACACCTCAGTCACGGGAAGATAGTGAGTTGAGCTTCCTCAGCCGAGGCTAGTTCAGGCGATTGGTCCTTTAGGGGGCGTTTCGCAGTGTCAGGGAAGGGTGACCGGCCACAACCCGAGACAGCCGCCCCGACCATACTGCGGCTTTCGGCGGCAATTGTAACCACATACGCATGCAAGCATCTCTTCGGTACATGAGCTCACCATAATACACCATATTTTTCTCTCTTTTTGATGCTCCATTTAACTCGTTCTATATTCTGCGGTCCGTTTTAGTATACTGCCTTGTGGGTCAGATGTTTGAGTCAAAGACTTCAGCCAAGGTTAAAAAACAAAAACCCCTTCGTCGGTGAGGGCTAGTGCGAAGTAGGTAGTGTTCGAAATTCTCAGACAACTATTTGGAAAAACTTGGAAAAACTGCACAGATGAGCAGTTCCTCCAACAGGCAATACGTCACTGATTCTCCCCCACCCCCCAACACAGATTATTTTGACCGCATTGGAACTCGACCGTTTCCTTTGCTGTTGCAGTTGGTAACTAAAACCGGTCAATACATATGATATGGATTGAGCCGGTTGACACCAATGCAGCTGTCATCATCATCATCATCGTACAGCGAAATACAGTGAGGTGAACTTCACTGACCGCTGCTAAACTCGTAATGCATACAAGGTTAGTGGTAAAATTTAAGGTGGACAGGGATTGGACCTAATTTGAGGGAGGAAGAAGAAGGTGAAACACTATGGTCAACAAACAGAGTACACAATCGAACACTGCATACATACAGTTTCAAGCATTCTGATCTGATTAGAAACTACAAGAACGCCATAGCCGTCAGTTCGCTACCATATCCTTCAATGTCTCTAACCAACCATTTGTGGAGTCTTTCGGACCCCAACCTGGGAGGCGAGATACACCTACTCTACCCAATGGCTCTGTGTATTTCTTCTGTATATCTATATAGCAGATTGTGACATTTGGATTCTTTGCATGTCACCCAAAAAACCAGACCTGACGCGTTGAAACAAACTGAATGCGCTTTGTCACCGTTTGCTAATTTCACCCTGCAATCGCTAACATTTGTGGCCAACGAAAGGACAACACAAAACGATTCAGGAGAGTGAGTGGTCGGGCTTGTTAGTTGTGATCACACATCGCCATTTGGCACAGATCCCTCGGGTAAAAGCGAAAGTGACCCGCAGTTGAAAATGCTGATCAAGTTAGGTGGTTCGCACAGACGGTAACCGCATTCAATATGTGATTCCGTTCCAAAGATATTTGGTAATGGTGGCCAATGGAAGCATGCTGTTAAGTAACTGGGAGCAACTCTGTGAATTACAAGAGATTGGGGGAGCTCTCCGAAAAACAGTACAGAGCCATCGGGTAGAAACTCANTCCGGAAATAAGCATTGAATGATGCCGAAGTGAATGAGTTGAAATCTCGACTGGAAGAGGATCCAACGGTGATATGATCCCGGCTGCGAAAGCTCGGGTTGCAGGACGCAACAAAGCAGTCAGCACTAAAACAACTATTTATTAGCTCTAGAGTTGATTAAATACACCGAGAGAGTTGCGTACCATTCCGGAGGGAATGAGTTGTGCGGGGCTGCTCCAGCTGGATTGATATAACCAACTGCAAACTCCTCAGTAGTTGCACTGGAGGACGTTCAGTTCAATGCACCAGAATGCGTGCTGAAGTTGTTAGTATCGAGGATAAGAATTTCTATATAATTCGCGCCATAGGTCTCAGTGGATTTTTAATTTTTGAACTCCTGAGGAGTTGTGAACCTCAAACGTGTGGATCGGGTAACTGCTAAGTCATTTAAGTTCAATTGGTGTCTGCATCCCTGTAGTTGACTACAATAATGCTTTTTGTCACGTGGATTTGGAAAAAAGTGACTTCGCTTCTGCGTCTTGGAGCGCACAGACCCGTACGAATTCCAGAGCAGGCGAGACTTGGAAACCGTTTTATATAAATTAAAGACTTATGCGTCGAACTGTAACAATGTGATAAACAGTTGCATTTTAACTGACTCATCCACTTTCTCAATTGCAGTAATACGGAGTCTTCAAGGTGTATGTGAGACCATATCTTCGAGAAAATGAAGACGCCCCATTTGGTGGCGTCCCCAATCAGCTTATGATAAAGCAAAAATATCGCTTGCAGTTCTTGGGGCGAACAGTGAAAGTGGCAAAGGCACAGGTAACAGCCGGGAATTGGGTTAGAGTGGTAGGTTGCATTTCATCTATGAATGCTAGAATAATGCAGTTTGAATATTAAAGATGGAATGTTTTTTCTTAATACAGACTGCCATAAAACAACAAAATTCTAAATGACGTTTTTTGTTAATTTAGCCGTTTGTGTTTCTGAATTAATGAGTACAAGGTGGAGACACCAACAAATCACGAAACTGAGAGGCATGGAAGGAGAGAGAGATTTGCGTACACATGGGACGTGTGAGGGGAGTCACAAGAACGGAAAACAACAAAGGATTAACGCACCGAAACGTATTCCCTGTTTCACCCAATCCACCGGTTCGTGACGCGCTTTCTGTACCAATTGTTCCCATTCGGTGCACAGCCAATGAGCCAATCGAACGGGTGAATAGGGAAGACGAGGTGCACAAGACAAATAAATGATCAATGCGATCCACAAACGAACCATCAGACGATGCCGGGGTAAAGGACCTGTCTTGGACGAGGACGGATCCAAGAAACGTTTGACCACATCAATGTTATCATACCACGTGTGGTACATGGGCATAGTATACATACAGTAGTCCTGTAAGATGGTAAAAGAAGGAACGGATAAGGATTGAAATGTAGGGGATATGAATAAAACAAACTAAACGAGTCAGGAAATAAAAAGCTAAATCTGAAATTCACAATTTCATACCGTTGAAAACGAGTGAGATTGAGTAGAACAAGGAACGTTCATTTCATATGTAAGCAAACACGGACGGCCTTAACCAAAGGGAACGGTAAAGGAGTAAGCTAACAAGGCACTGGAAAATTGGTTCTCGTAGCTCAGATGGAGTTCATTTTCGCCTGTTCGTTGAGGTTAGCATTTTGTATGTAAACGTTTTAGCACCAATCAAGGTGACGTCTTCAGTGCTTGTGGTGTGGTGTTCTGCATCTACCCATTCCTTATAAACGTTCTGCATCAGTGACTCTGTCCCCTGGTTCCCACTGTTGTCAGCCTAACTCGCCATCGGACTAGCACAAGGAGGACGGGGTGCTCTTCCATTTGGATTGTGTTTTTCTAAGTCTGGTCGCGAGTCACGACGTGACTTTCCGGTTGCGTCATTTTATCCGTGAGTTGCATTGGCGTGAACAAGTGATCCAGCTCGATGTGCCTGTGTGTTAATCGTTCCAAAAATATGATATCGCTAAAAGAAATAAATCCAATCAACTTTTAGCATTAACACAGTAACGTGTTTTAGACCCCGGATTACTAGCTTCCTCGTCCGTATTGATACTGTTTAACTATGCGTGAGCGGATGAGTCACATTTCAAATTCAGATGAATTACGAATGAAAGTAAACAATAAAGCTGAATCACCTCTCAGTCTATCTGTTGGTTCTATTTTACAAAAAGTGGGAAAGTCAGTGAATTTCTTGAACTTTTTTGTTGGATGGTCTATGACAAACATCGGAATATGTGCATCTGAGACAGGACCAGAGGCTGATTAGACAACACAACATTGTATAAGANGTATAACCTGTAAATGAATCTTAAACACGATGTCGCCTGACATTGCTTACCAGTTAGCCGAACCTAATTCTGACGCACACAGAAGACATGCGGATAGTTTTTTTTCGTTCCCATCAATGAACTCCGATCTCAACTACGCCATCCCCAGACCAAAAGAGCGTCAGTTAGAATTTTAACCATTCTGTTTTTCAGAGATCACCATAAGCCGAAGAAGCTCAAACGAATGCATGCTGAGCAGCATGGCACTTCGGTTTCACTACTAAGGACGCACGGTGAGAAATTAACTATTTGGCTTCCTAGGTTGCTAACTGATCCGAGTGAATGATTGCTCTTCTCGTTAGAAAAGTGTCATTTCCACCAGGTGTGTAAGTTTTTCCTGTTAAGTTCTCTAAAGACAGTAAATTTTGAGACTTATGTTAAACTCTCAGAGCTTGTTAGTAACCGCAGTCCGGAGAATGATAGAAAGCGGTCGAAGCTACTCTATGGTTCTTTGTACAGTGGTGGTGAAAGACTAGTATAGGTGAGACCAACTTATTCGCCGGATTACGCTGAACAACGGCATATTGGAGATGTGTCAAGTTGGCTATGAGTAAGTAAACCTGATACGATCCATCATAGCCTGAGCTAGAACGATAGGCTTGCAAGTTACATGGGTTCCATATAGCTCTTCAAATTTGCTTGCATACGTTTCGCGGAACAATGATGCAGTTCTAACAGAGGAATCAGGAGAATTTTCATGTTAACTTGATCAAAAAGGGGTGAGGCTAAGAAAGATGTTCAAGGAAATCAGTTTAAATGTGTAAAAGGATTATATGGTACAGGTTGTCCTTTCTAGCATATCGTGAAAATAGTTAGTACCGGGAAATACACTGCAGTTGGTAGAAAAGTTGAAAAGCTACAACGGAGTGAGAAAGGAACGACTGCAAAAAAGTTGCGGAAGCCATATTCATGATGGCCAGATCCAGGTCAAATGGAAAAGAGGTTTGGTTTTTTCGCCCACGAGCGGTTTCATAGCAACAGATCCAAATTTGGAACGGATGTCATTGACGAAATTGTGTGCGGTTCTCATAGTATTAGACCCATATAGAATTTCAAGTAATCATCTAGCGTTTGCCATAAAACATCAAAGACAAATGTCATTAGCGATGCGAGCTTAATCAAGCTGAATAAGCCACAAAAGAGAGCTTTGATTTTCGACAAAATAAACTTGCACTGCGATGTTTTATTTCAGTTTTCAGGTAACAAATGACAATGATTCCCTACTGTTCACACTACCACGTATCGGTTCTTTGTCAATCTTAGCTTGAAGAATACGAGTTAAAATGACGTTCGGAGTCTGGTGAAAACATGCAAACAATTGAATTCTGCATGTGCAGTGAACGAAGTTTTGAATCACTCCGCATAACGTTGAAGATTAACAGCTTATGTGCGTGTGTTGTGTAGACACTTACCGGCACGTACTCAGGATACGAAGATGGCACGCCCAATTTGTAGGCGAATGGAATGTGGTCAGAGCCACCACCGGGTTGAGATACTCTGATATCGGTGATTAGGGATAGAAACGGAAGCAGAATAAAGTGGAATGGAGGGAGGGCAGCATCAGCAGCAAAACAGTGTAGTCCAGATGCACAGATCACGTTCAGTTACTAGCAGTTGAACTGCTGACAGTAAACAATTTAAGCTAACGCTTTCCATAGGCAGTGCTGGAACCGGTAATATTTTTTATTCCGTTTCCATGTATTTTAATTTCCAGTGCATGCTTTAGGTGCATGGGTGTGGTGGAAGATATGATTCGATTCTACCAATTAGTTCGTGTCGGAATTTTCCAACCGAGTCATATCCCCGCCCGGTGGCCTAGTAGGAAATATGCTTGCGTCCTATCTGTGAGGTTCCGGGTTCGAGTCCTAGATGGGTCGATGGATTCGCACTGCTGATAAGATCCTGGCTTCCGAGCTTCTCGGTTCATGCTCTCTGTACACGACGAAATTCACCATAATTTCTTTATATGTAGTGCGCTTCATGCCAATCGTGTACGTTTTCAGTAAGTTGCAGCTCGATCATTTGTTCACATCTTCCCTTTGGGAGGGAATACGGTACGGTTGAAATAGCAAGATATTTTGAAACCGGTGCAACAACAGCTAATAAAGTTCCTAATTGTTAGAAAAATGGATCACTTTTTCATGACAGAAAATTTTTGTCTTGATACCAAATGAGCAGCCAATTAAGCATGGATAATACTAACGAGCATTTACGAGTTTTTTCTTCAGTTTGCGTGTCTACTATGACAGATCGGATCGGGCAAACAAACTAAAATAATGAAAATACCGTCATAGTAGTTCAAAATGTTCACTGCTTTGGCCTAAAAGAGTGGCAACCGTCCAGGGACTGAAACGGCGGTGGTTCATGCGTATAGCTGCGGTTGATGGACTAAAGCTCAATTGGCATACAGTGGTCATATGATCCGTTGAGAGAAACACCATAGACATGACGGTAAAACTCCGAGCACGTGCAATGTCGAAGTTTAGTAATTAAGTTTGACGTATGATCGATCCAGACATAGACACAACCGGTTTATTGATACTGCTCTGGATGAATCTGGCACGCGCTGATGTACTTGGCTTTTCACTGATGCTACTTATTTAGGTGGTAAGTAGTCACAGTGAAATAACAAATAATGGATGGGTGGGACGCTTCATTTTTACATCAGTGTGAATATTTAGAAGTTCTCGTGCTCGGTTGTTACTCAATTTATTTAAGAAGTAAATAAACTCAAGACTGAAGGGGATCGCTTGAACCGTGTGGATGAACATTTGACAGTGGACGAGGTGAACATAAGGACCTGAACGATGTGCGCTGACCAATCCCAGGGATTACGTTCTATAAACCAAAACTGTCCTGACCGATAGGGCCTTTATTTACCTGTGTTGCGGCATAGTCAAAAATACTCGGTAAAATTTTCGAACTTTATTAAGTACGACGAAATTCTCACCAACGGCAATCACACCAAATTTTAAAAAAAACTGTAAACGAACAAAAGTCGATGTATACAGGTATGAGCACACCTCGAAGAGTCTTGACTGGCATTTGGCAAATTAGGGTATCTATGGTGCCACCGAAACTGCCAATTGTTCCGAGTGTATGATGCAGATGTTTGGCTGATTCTTATGCATGATGCGTACCTGGACGTTACAATGGAAGGATAAAGATAATTAATTG